ATGTAATGATTATATATATACTTTTTTTTGGAATATGTATTCTAATTTAGGACTATTGCATTTTCAATACTTATCACGAAGTATATTACAATAGTAATAATTACAAAAATAATAACATGTACGTAGTATTACTATTATAACCATAATCTATAATAATTATAAGGGAAAATGGAAACTAATAATCCAACCTTTTAGCGGTCTTCTTTCAATAATCCTACCTTTTGATTATTCATGAATAATCCAACCTTTGCACCTCATCTTCATTCACTGGTCTCTGACCGGTTGATGACCTGCTATTCCAAGCTATTTTCTTATCTTTGCAAATCATTATACCATAAATCTCATCTTTCACAAAGATAATATTTTGGAAAGATAAGAAAATAACTTGGAATAGTAGGTCATTAACCGACCAGGGACCAATGAATGAAGATGAGGTGCAAAGGTTGGATTATTCATGAATAATCAAAAGGTGGGATTATTGAAAGAAGACCGCTAAAAGGTTGGATTATTAGTTTCCATTTTCCCTAATTATAATATGTACTCGTAATATTTATTGATAGTAAAGTAAAGAATAAAAGTGTCAGTAAAGGAAATATAAATTAAAAATGAGAATGAATACGTACACATATAATATTTTTAGCTCGAGTTCGAGCATCTTATTTGACTTCAAACCTATAAAAAATAATTAACAAAACTTGATCTAAGCTCGAACAAAGCTCGAATTGAGCTTGAGCGGAGCTCGACTCGAATTCGAGCCCGAATAATTTAATGCGTCCAAACTCGAGCTCGAATTCATGAATTCTTATCAAATTCAGGCTCAAACCTACCATGTTCGGTCGGCTCCTTTACACCCCTAGTTCCGCCCAAATATTCCCATTACCATCACCACTATTGAGAATTTTACACTAGTCATAATATTATCTTACATTATTTGAAGTGTTCCCTACCATTAGACACATATACGTGGGTAGCATGCTTTGCATGGCCCATGCATTATTCTCCCATATTATCATTGTAATGCATTGTGTATTATATATAGCATCTTACGGATGCATAATAAATGTATGAAACATTTCTCCTTCTCCATGAGTTCATATGCTTTCCATAACAGTTCATATTTTTATCATTAGTCTTCAATTTTATCATGGTATCAGAGCCGAAACCTGGAAGTCAGAATATCGGTTAATTTTTTGAAAGTTAATCTTTCTTTATTTTCACTCATATCAACATGACGAAAATATCGTCTCACATTCGCACTTGGATAATTGATTCCGGAGCAAGTGAACATATCACTTGTGATAGTGCAAACTTTTTCAACTACTCTACTCATTTACCTGAAACAAGAGTAAAAATTCCCAATGGCGAATCAGTTCCGGTTTCCGCCATCGGTAGCCTCTACCTATCTAACGGGTTCTACCTTCGTCGCGTTCTTTACGTCCCACAATTTCAATGTAACCTGCTCTCCGCTAGCCGCCTCACAAGCGACTTAAACTGTGTACACTCACATTTTTCTCAGGTTTCTGTATATTTCAGGACTTATCCTCCCGAAAGTTGATTGGTAAAGGTGAATTTCATAACGATCTCTACTACCTAGAATTACCTAGAAGTGAAAGGATGGCAATGACAGTTACTCTTGATTCTACTTTGTGGCATCGGCGTCTGGGACATGCTTCAAATGGAAAGTTACAACATATTCCATTTCTCAAAGGCTTGCAACAGAAAGATATTTTTTGTGATCCCTGTTTACGAGCTAAACAAACTCGTCTACCTTTCCCCAAAAGTACAAGTAAGACTACTTGTTGCTTTGAATTAATACATTGTGATATATGGGGAGGTTATAGGTGTGACTCGACTTCAGGAGCACGATATTTCTTATCCATCGTTGATGACTTTACCAGGGGAGTTTGGGTCTATCTTATGAAAAACAAGTCTGAAGTAAGTCAGAATTTGATGCATTTTTGCAATATGGTGGAAAATCAATTTGAGAAGAGAGTTAAACGCATACGTTCAGATAATGGAATGGAATTTCAAACCAATCTTTTATCCGAATATTATGCACGACGTGGAATCATTTTTGAAACTTCATGCACAGATACTCCCCAACAAAATGGAGTCGTAGAGCGTAAGCATAGACATATCTTGGAGGTTGCTAGGGCCTTACGCTTTCAATCCGGATTACCTATTGATTTTTGGGGAGAGTGCATTCTTACTGCCGTTTACATTATCAATCGGCTGCCGTCACCCGTTATTTTAAATAAAAGCCCTTAAGAAATGTTATTTGGGAAAGAACCTTACTATGAACATCTACGCGTTTTTGGATGTTTGGTGTATGCAAACAACAACAAACGCAAAGATAAATTTGGTGAAAGGGGAAGTCCTTGTATATTTCTTGGGTATCCTTATGGTCAAAAGGCGTACAAAGTATTTGATTTGCAGAAACGAAACATTTATGCCTCCAGAGATGTGACCTTTATTGAAAATGAATTCCCTTTTAAAATGATAAATCAAGAAGGGTTTGATTTTGGGGATATTATTGACCGTGTATGTCAAATAATCATGGGCCATGGCAATACATATATGCCGACGGACCACCGTAACAGTCCATCGCAGGATGAGAGCTTCCCTCGTCGATCGAGCTACCAGCCAGAAAACTCACCAAGCCTGGAGCCAGTCGACAACCTGGAAGACATCTGCGGCTATCCTCCTACAGAGGAGTACACACGTGGGGCCCAACAACATCCTGGAACCCGTCTTCCTCCACATAATTCCTGCGCTCCAGTCTGCAGGTCACATGGCCAAATTGGGACGCAGAGCAGTAGATGCAGGGACGATACTAACACAGATGGAGGGTCAGGCTGTCTCTCACCTATCCGACATCAGGTCCCTCCACATACGAACCACAATTTGAGCCATCTTGAGATGCAAGATAACACACACAGAGGAGGCACAGACACAAATGGTGGGCCTGACTCCTGTCCACCCTTACTTACCGGGCAGCAGCTCTTGTCAGAAACGCATTTGGAATCACATGGAACGGTTCCTTTGGCTGATACATCTTGTGAGCATACGTTACAAAGTCTGGAACCACCGTTGAGAAATGATTCACGTTACCTGATTGAACAAATATCAGTAACGGATGAGGTAGGAAGAGGAGGTAGAACACGCCGACTCCCTAAGCATCTCAATGAATATGATGTTGACATACCACCCTCTTTGGATCACTCACAGACCACATATCAAGGCAATACAACAGTATATCCAATTTCCAATTACATTACATATGAGAAGTTTTCAAATAATCATAAAGCATTTTTGACGGCCATCACTTCACGTGATGAGCCAAAACGATTTTCACAAGCCATTTCAGATCCAAAGTGGCGGGAAGCTATGCAAAGGGAAATTCATGCTTTAGAAGAAAATGGTACCTGGACTTTGGTTCAACTTCCGCCTGATAAGAAAACGGTAGACTCTAAATGGGTCTATAAAATAAAATATAAACCTAACGGTGATGTGGAACGTTACAAAGCAAGATTGGTAGCCAAGGGTTTCACACAAGTCGAAGGAATTGATTTTCACGAGACTTTTGCTCCAGTTGCTAAGCTCGTCACAGTACGATGTTTGTTAGCTGTTGCAGCCAAACGCGATTGGGAGGTACATCAGTTAGATGTCAACAATGCTTTTCTTCACGGAGACCTTTCAGAAGAAGTCTACATGCGTGTCCCTCAAGGGTTTGCTAAGAATGGTGACACTCGTGTTTGCAAGTTGCAAAAATCAATTTACGGCTTACGCCAAGCGTCTCGTAATTGGTACCGCAAATTTACTCAATCACTTCTCAATGTTGGATTTCGTCAATCACGGGCAGACCATTCCTTGTTCATTTTCCAGCACGGTGAAAACCACACCTTTGCACTCATATACGTCGATGACGTCATCCTTGCTGGAAATGATGCGTCTCATATTAGCAGAATCAAGGGGTACTTGAATGACCAATTTAGCATTAAAGACTTGGGTACATTAAAGTATTTCCTTGGGATCGAGGTGGCCCGTTCTCCCGAGGGATTTGTGCTCAGTCAACGCAAATATACACTGGACATCCTAGAAGAAAGTGGTCTCCTAGCCGCCCGACCCAGTCAATTTCCCATGGAACAGAATTTGAAACTTCGACCTGATGATGATAGTCCGCTTATAGACGCTTCTTCATATCGCCGTCTGATTGGGCACCTATTGTACCTGACTGTCACTCGCCCTGACATTGTCTTCTCTGTTAGCCAGCTTAGCCAATTTCTCAGCCAGCCACGCCAGTCTCATTTTGATGCTGCTATACGTGTTCTGCGCTACTTAAAACAAACTCCGGGACAAGGAATTTTTTTATCAGCAGACGATGACTACTCATTGAAAGGTTATTGTGATGCTGACTGGGAGGGGTGCCCTTACACTCGTCGCTCCAGTACTGGGTATTTTCTCACTCTTGGCAGCTCCCCAATTTCTTGGAGAACGAAGAAACAGTCTGTTGTTTCCCGATCTTCCGCCGAAGCAGAGTACCGTGCCATGGCCGTTACAGTTAGTGAAATTTTGTGGCTACGATGGTTACTTAGAGACTTAACGGTTTCTCAAACAGGCCCTACATCTCTCTTTTGTGATAATCAAGCAGCACGACATATTGCACTTAACCCCGTCTTTCATGAACGCACTAAGCATGTAGAAATGGACTGATACTTTGTTCGCGAGCGTGTTAGCAGTGGTGAAATCCGTTGCATCTCTACAGCACACCAGATTGCTGATATTTTCACTAAGGCACTTGGCACTGACCGTTTTCAATTCCTGAGGAGCAAGTTGGGTGTTTGTAACCTTCACACGCCACCTTGAGGGGGAGTATTGAGAATTTTACACTAGTCATAATATTATCTTACATTATTTGAAGTGTTCCCTACCATTAGACACATATACATGGGTAGCATGCTTTGCATGGCCCATGCATTATTCTCCCATATTATCATTGTAATGCATTGTGTATTATATATACTCCGTAGCATCTTACGGATGCATAATAAATGTATGAAACATTTCTCCTTCTCCATGAGTTCATATGCTTTCCATAACAGTTCATATTTTTATCATTAGTCTTCAATTTTATCAACCACTTCCATGTTATCCAATTATCCAAACAAACGTTAATTTTCTTTCCTAGGCGAGGTCTCAATTTTCTGCCCAAAATTTTCTAGGGTTTTGTAATCACACACTTTCCCTCCATCTTTTCATCGCCCGTCCTCTGCCTCTCGCTCTATCTTGCAGGTCAAATGCCTGCGCTGAGCTGGAGACACCACACCCTCATCCAATCTCTGCTGTCTCGTGGCCCTCTCCCGGAAGCGGATTTCAAATCCATCTTCTATACCGTCACTGAAAAGTCTCCAGGTTTTTTTTTTTTAATTTTCCAAATTCTCGTTCTATTTCTTTGGATTGAACTCATTTAACTGCTTACTGCTCCAAAATTGTTCCTCTTTTTCATTGAGTTCATGTAAATGTATTCAAGTTCTATGTTCTCAAGTAAAAAGTGTAACCTTATCTATGATATTTAAAGAAATATCGCTGCAATCGTAGATAATTTCATCTAGTGAATATAGTTAATGCGATTTCTGCAATTGCATTCAATTGTCGTTTTGTATTTTCATTTTACGATTTTATGTATTTTAGGTACGCATAATCAGCTGTTTAATGATTTTCTAAGGAAGGTAAATGCAGAACTGGCATATGTCCAATTTGAACTGAGGGCTTGTAGGAATCAGTATGATGGAAGTGTATATTATGGAGTCGTCAATAATGTTTCTGACGAGCAGTCAAAGCTCGGGACTAAATATTCTACTCCTCAAATTGCTTTCTATAAGGCCATGGTATTCCCCATTGTACTTACCTGCATTGCTCTTCTCTCCCTTTTTCCTTTTTTAGTTAGTTTTTTTATTTGTTAGCATTACAGCCATGTGATAGGTGTTTTTGATAGGGGGAGTAGTTCATCTCAATTCATACCCTTTTCCCAAAAATATAATGTTATCATGAGGTTAATTGCTCTAAGGGGATTGATCTCATGATAAGGTTACATGGGAGTTCTAGGTAAATGATTTAGTTAGGGGGTGTTTGGAACTGATTCTGCTTCTTTTTTAAAGCAGAATCAGAATTAGAATTAGTTTTCAGAAGATGGTCATCCCCCGCTTCTAAAAAAACTGATTCTATGAGTAAATTAGAGCATCAGAATCACTTTTGTACTTTCACCCAAACACTCCAACTTCTGCTTCTGCTCCTTGAAGGATTAGAAGCAGTTTTAAAATCAGATCCAAACACCCCCTTAATAGGATTACTTTCAGTTCCCTGTATTTCACTCAAGATATTTACAATTGTTCGTTCAAATGTTACTGTGCCACTTCATCTACATTTTCACAAAATTTAAGTTGCATCATGTGCTTTGTCGGTTTCCTTTAACTTGATGGCTGTCTTTAGGTTGAAGCTATTGTCCAGGATGGGGCTGAAGGCTGCATATCAAAAATTCAGGCTATAAATATACGCTTGGAAAACCAGGTTTGTTGACTTTCCATATGCAATAGGTCATCATCGGCAAGTAATCGCCTACATCATACATAATACACAAAACAAAACTATTCCGGCAGGAAAGTAGATATAATATTGATATTAAGGCATAATTAACTGGTGAAACATTTACCATACTTCACTTGATAATTTGGACAGTACTAATAGAAACTCTGTTGTAAAGAAGGATATATTCATTCTTCAAGGAATGCTTTCACAGCTTCTGTTTTGCTTAAAGGTGTATGGTTAGAAAAACACCCTTCTTTTGCTGGACTTGTTTAACTAGATGAAACAGCTTACACAGATTTAACAATTTTTTTGAAGACTGGAATCTACAAGGCTCTTGGAACCCAGGAAATGGAAAAAGAATTAATTCCCAAGGAAAAGGACTAATTTTGGTTTGATTTTACCTAAAAAACATCAATGAAATTGAATTTGATTAAAAATGTAATTTTTTATAGGAACCTGGTAGAATAAGTAGTTAAGTACTAATAATAATAGTATGTATTTTGATAGTGTACAAGAGGGATCCCTAGGCCAGGTACTAAATAACTTTGGGCCGGCCCATAAGGAAAAGAGTATAACTAGGAGGTGGGAGTAGAATAAGGTAGGCAAAAATTAGAAATGGGGCTGGATTTGGGAGAGTGAGACTGCTTGAAGTGTCTCAATACTATCTGTTTCATCTCTTTCTTTGTATTTCCATCAACACACAAATAAATTTTGCTACGTTTATTGAGTACCTATTATTGGTATCAGAGCTCTACAATCCACAACAGGGAGTTCGCGCATGGAGATTTGCAAAGAAAAGGTCGGAAGCGACTAGGCGGCGGAGATGAGAACCTGGTTGGACGAGATGCGCAACAAGTTGCGTTAATAGAATCGCCAGTGACCTAGAGGACGAGTTGTACGTTATTCATCTCCACTAGATGAAACTGGAATGCTTGTTGTTGAATCTGTGGTGCCAGGTGGTCCAGCTGATGTATTTAGAGCCAATTCATGCTGCCGAACTCCTTGCTGAACCACCTCTGTGTCGTGGAGATACTGTGTCTCCTGTGGGGTTGAACAAATGCCTGCAGACAACATCAAGAAACTCAATTGTCACCAATGCTTGTGCTTCTTTGACTATTGCATCGTCTGGTTGTCCAAATTATATATCAACAAACATGGAAGTTATTGAACTTGATACTGCTTTTGGTACTTCAATTTCTGGTGTGCTGACTGATGAGTTTGGACGAGTTTGAGCTGTATGGGGAAGCTTCTCTAGAACAAAAAATAAAAATCTCAATGATAGTAGTTCATCCGATGATTCTGAATTTACACGTGGACTTCCTGCTTGTGCAATAAGTGAAGTCCTTGCAAAGACCATCTCTACTGCTGCTGGACCCCATGTCTTCTTGATGGCATGATGCCACCATGACTTTGCTTCTGCCCCTCTCTGCTGTGAAGAATGTAGGGATGAAGGCTCAAGTACTTTAGCTCAAGGTCCAGAAATCAAGGAGGCACAGGGAAGGGAGAGGCACAAGGATGAAGCGGTTGGTCAGGGCTGTTTCCTACCTCCCACCTTGACGACACATTGGTTGTCAAAGGGGGAGTGATGAAAAGGACGTGGCAGAATAAGTGCTAATAATAATATAATAATAATAATACTGATAATAATATGTTAAGAGCGCGCGAACAAGATCTCGTCCAAGGTCGCGAACGGGAGAATGAAAGCGAACTAGGACAAAGAGAAAGATCAATTTTTGTATCTATTATGACCACCAGAAGAGAAACGAAAATAATAATGCTTTATTGGAATTAATTTGGTGTCTGACCTAGTCAAGACCCACCAGAATTCCTTCTCCCCTTTTAATCAATACTAGGGTCCTTTATATAGAGTTAGACTTCTAATTCTAATAGGACATAATGATAATAGGAAACTACCTAAAACTGAAATAGGAAATAACAATAGTAGTTTGATTAGGAGACTAATAATAAATTGTAATAAATAATCTTGCTGCTCAAGTTAGCCACTTTTAGTCTCCAGGGTCACAGGTTCTTCTTGGGCCTCACTTGCACTGTTTGTGCCTCGGTGGCCCAATCGCCGTCGCTGATAGTCACGACCCCAGAATGCATCCATATCATCACTCCCCCGGTGGACCACGAGCTTGTCCTCAAGCTCGAATGCAGGGTAAGTTGCGCGAAATGCCTCAATAGGCTCCCATGATGCTTCCTCTGCTAACTGTCCCTTCCAGTGTACTAATAGCTCCAACTGGCCGCGATTCAAACGGCGGCGGAGGATGGCAGCAGGTTCCATAGCCATAGAGTTGTCTTTCAGTGGAGGTAATTGTCCCATAGAATCTGGGGGAAGTCCCTTGTGTGGTTTGAGTAAGGAAACATGGAAGACGTTGTGGATACGACTGTCTGGCGGCAATTGGAGCTGATACGCAGTGTCCCCTATGCGCGCTGTGACTTGAAATGGCCCGTAGTACTTCGGTAAAAGTTTGTGATGACGTTGAGTCAAGGAAACCTGACGATAGGGGTGCACCCGAAGCCAAACCCAGTTTCCAGGCTCAAAGGTCAAGTCCCGGTGAGATTTGTCATACTGCAGTTTCATGCGTTGTTGAGCCTGCTCTAGTCTGGTGCGAGCTGTAGACAACAGTGCATCACGATCAATGAGCTCCCGCTCCACACTGTCCAAGCGGGTTGTGCCTGGTGAATGAGAAAGAAGTCGGGGGGGATCCCGACCGTAGACCAATCGAAAGGGAGTGTCCCCTAAAGCAGTATGAAAAGATGTATTATAACAATACTCCACCCATGGCAGCCAACGAACCCACTGACTAGGATAGTCACTGGTTAAACAACGGAGAAACAATCCCACGGTACGGTTGACGACCTCAGTTTGCCCATCGGTTTGAGGGTGATAGGCTGATGAAAAGGCAAGCTTTGTCCCTGACAAGCGAAATAATTCGCGCCAAAATGTGCTGACAAAGACTTTGTCGCGGTCAGACACAATAGATTCTGGAAGACCATGGAGTCGGAAGATTTCTGCAAAGAAAACTGCAGCCACAGAAACAGCTGTGTAAGGATGGCTCAAGGGGATGAAATGTGCAGCCTTGGACAGTCGATCAACCACCACCAATATTACCGACTTACCCCGAACCTTAGGAAGTCCTTCAATGAAGTCCATGGAAATATCAGCCCATATTTGTTGAGGAATTGGTAGAGGCTGAAGCAGCCCAGCAGGTTGTAGGTTTTGCCACTTATGTTGTTGGCACGTCTGGCACTCGGCAATGTATTGTGCTACTGCCGCCTTCATATTAGACCAATAAAACTCGCGTCGCAGACGGTGCAATGTTTTTTGTACACCTTCGTGAGCCATACCGTGAAATAATGAGAGTAAACTCGGAATGATAGGTGATGTAGGCAACAAGTATAATTTATGGCGAAAATAAAGCAGTCCATCGCGGTATGCCCAGTTACTGCCAAGAGTGCCATCCAGTACCTGCTGCCGGAGTTTTTCAAGCTCAGAGGATGATATTTGAGCAGCACGAACCTCAGTCAATAATGTAGAGAATGGAATAGACAAGGCGTGCAGCAAGACGGGTTCCTCATCTCGGCGGGACAATGCATCTGCGACTGTGTTCAACCGTCCAGGTTTGTATTCCACCCGAAAATTGAATCCCATTAATTTGCTCAACCAATGTTGTTGTGGTGATGTGGTAAGGCGCTGGTCAAGTAAATGTTTCAAACTAGAGTGATCGGTGTGGATCAAGAACTGTTGTCCCCATAGGTATGGGCGCCAATGGACTACAGCTTTGGCTAGACCAATCAACTCGCGCTCATAAGCTGCCAATTTTACATGTCGATCCGCTATTTTGCGACTAAAATAGGCAATGGGATGCCCCTCCTGTTGTAAAACCGCCCCGAATCCGCTGCCTGAAGCGTCACATTTCACGATAAAAGTCTTACTGAAGTCAGGAAGCTGGAGCACCGGTGCTGTGGATAGCCTCTTCTTGAGCTCAATGAATGCTGCAGCCGCATCTGCTGTCCAATCAAACCCTTTTTTGGATAACAGTTGGGTTAGAGGTCGAGCAATCGCCCCATAGTGCTCAATAAATTTGCGGTAATAGCCGGCTAGGCCCAAGAATCCACGCAAGGCCGTGACTGTTTGCGGAACAGGCCATTCCATGATGGCATGTATTTTTGTCTGATCCACCTCTACACCTTTGCTGTGGATGACGTGACCCAAATAGTTAACTTGTGGGGCTCCAAAACTGCATTTGGATCGTTTTAAAAACAGGCCATGGGTGCGGAGGATATCAAGGACAAGGTGGACATGTGCTACATGCTCAACCCATGATTTGCTATATATCAAGATATCATCGAAGAAGACCAAAACGAATTTGCGCAAATATGGACCAAATATATCATTCATTAAGCTCTGGAACGTGGACGGCGCATTGGTGAGGCCGAATGGCATAACCAAAAATTCAAAATGACCGTGATGTGTCCGAAATGCTGTCTTTTCAATGTCCTCCGGTGCCATGCGGACTTGGTGGTAGCCAGAGCGGAGATCGAGCTTAGTGAAGTACCTGGCACCATGCAATTCATCTAAAAGCTCGTCGATTACTGGAATTGGAAATTTATCCTTAACTGTTTTGGAGTTAAGCTCTCGGTAATCCACACAAAAACGCCAAGAAGCATCTGGTTTTTTTACTAACAAGACTGGTGAGGAAAAGGGAGATCGACTAGGCCGGATGATGCCCTGCGATAACATCTCCGTACACTGCTTTTCGATCTCATCTTTCTGAAAATATGGGTATCTGTATGGTCGCACTACCACTGGTCCAGCTCCTGGAATGAGGCAAATCCTGTGATCACACGAGCGTTGGGGAGGGAGGCCTGTGGGTGTGCCAAAGATGTCCTCAAACTGGGACAGTAACCCATTCATAGACCCCTGAGAGGGAAAAGAGTCTACTGCCATATGTACGTGAAGCGAATGAGTTGCTTCTTGGCCACGCCATTCAACAGACATTCCCTGCCAGGTAAAGCTCATGGACCTGTGCCTAAAATCCCACAAAATAGCGCCGAGGCCTTGCAACCAGTGGACACCTAAAATCATGTCAAAACCTGCTATTGGCAAAACGTAAAAATCTGCGGTAAATTGTTTCCCATCAACGTGGAATGCCAACTCTGGATAAGAACCTAGGATCGGAACTCGGTCACCGTTAGCGACAATAACATGCCTACGTGGCTGTTGTGGCGGCTGTGGATCAAGCGTGGTTGCAAGGCGCTTGTGGATAAAGTTGTGTGTACTTCCGGAATCAACCAAAATTTTGATTGGGTGGCCGTTTAGACAACCATTTAACTGCATGGTTGAGGATGAACCAAACCCAGTCATTGCGTGAAGTGTAAGGGGTTGATCGGTTTCAGGCTCCAGAAAGTTGTCGAGTGTTTGTTCCTCGTCGACGATGTCAAGGAAGAACAATCTCTTGCAACGATGTCCACGTACCCATTGATCATCACAGTTGTAACACAACCCTTTAGCACGTCGTATTGCAGCTTCGGCCTGGGTAATTTTTTTGAACGGGGGAAGGCTGCGCCGAGTAGTAGTCGTTGCAGGCAGAGGGGATGGGATGGCTGCAGGGGTTGCTGTCTTAAGCGCAAGTTGGACGTGTCCAGCCATAGTTTGTGTCGGGGGCGGGAACACAAATCTGCGTTCACAGTTACGGGCCCACATCATCGCAGAGTCAAGGTCAAGTGGATCCTGATTTTCTACTTCTATGCGGACTGCCTCCCGTAATCCCGCTGTAAAGATCTTCACTTGCATGCGTATTGATACGCCGCTCGTCCGTGCCAATAATTGCTGGAAGGATTCAATGTATGATTCCAAATCAGTTGTTTGGACCAATTTGGCGAGATCACCCTCCGGATTGGTGCTGCAAGGGGGGCCGAAGCGTCTTGAGCATCTGGTATAAAATTCTGTCCATGTGAGCTCGGTTCCTGAGGAGTCCAGTTGGTCGGCCCATAACTGAGCAGTTCCTATCATGTGGAAAGTTGCTAGTCCGACGCGTGCCTGTGGTGATGTCCTTTGTTGGGTAAAGAAACGCTCGCAACGTTTGAGCCAAGAGAGGGGGTCGCCCGTACCATCAAACTGGGGAAATTCCAATTTGGAAAATCTGGGAACCGTGTAGTCATCACTATCTCGATGGCGGTGATCTGTTTCTCGGCGACGACCAAACCCAGGCGGATCTGAGGGAGAACCTGTCATCGCGAGTTTCTGCACGGCCTCTGTCAATGCCGAGACTGCTGCTGGCAGTTGTTCCAGGCGTGCAACGGCTGCTGGCAAAGTTTCGAGGTTGGTTACAGATTGTGCGAGGGCAGATAATTGTTCTTCAACATCAACTTGTCGCTGATCAATGGACTCGATCATCTGTTTGAGAGGATCTGTTGCTGAATTTCCCACCATCGTGCCTGATGCTGATACCAAGTTGTTAAGAGCGCGCGAACAAGATCTCGTCCAAGGTCGCGAACGGGAGAATGAAAGCGAACTAGGACAAAGAGAGATCAATTTTTGTATCTATTATGACCACCAGAAGAGAAACGAAAATAATAATGCTTTATTGGAATTAATTTGGTGTCTGACCTAGTCAAGACCCACCAGAATTCCTTCTCCCCTTTTAATCAATACTAGGGTCCTTTATATAGAGTTAGACTTCTAATTCTAATAGGACATAATGATAATAGGAAACTACCTAAAACTGAAATAGGAAATAACAATAGTAGTTTGATTAGGAGACTAATAATAAATTGTAATAAATAATCTTGCTGCTCAAGTTAGCCACTTTTAGTCTCCAGGGTCACAGGTTCTTCTTGGGCCTCACTTGCACTGTTTGTGCCTCGGTGGCCCAATCGCCGTCGCTGATAGTCACGACCCCAGAATGCATCCATATCATAATAATAATATGGAGTATTAAATATTTTGATAGTGTACAAGAGGGATCCCTGGGCAGGTACTAAATAACATTGGGCCAGCCCGTAAGAAAAACAGTATAACGAGGAGCGGGGAGTAGAATAAGGTGGGCAGAAATTGGGATTGGCTGGAAACTGGGAGAGTGAGGCCTCTCGAAGAGTCTCAATTGTATTTTCCTTTTCAGTACTTTCATATTAATCTACGTCTATTTTTCCTTTTCCAAATCTTGTTCCTATCAATTTTACATATATTAAGATTTCTTTTTCTTGATTAAATTATATAAATAAAATGAGTTAAAAAAATGTCTAATATGGATTTATTGTGTTTAACCAATTTGTTTTCCCTCAAGCTCTCTTTCCTCCCAAATTACTCCTCTTGTCCCCCAAATTTTTGTTTCTCATCGTGTTAGGGGGTTCCAACGGACCCTAAAGGATCTTGTTGACAGTTAATTTGGTCTCTAGGTACTTAATGATTCAAGCTCACAGTCACAGGCGGAAGCAACACAGATTCCAGCAGTAGTCAGGAATTTTTCAATGTCTCAAAAGGAAAAGACCATTGAAGAGCTTGTGAGGGATAACTGGCTATGCTTAACCTCTGATGGTAAAGTTGGACTAGGGGTGCGTTCCTTTCTTGATCTCAGGAGTTGGTTTCGCAGCAATGAGGTTCCTTCTTGTGAAGTTTGCAATGAGGCTGCTGTGAAGGTTTATACTTTACCTGTGCATCCTTTGTTAGAATGAATGAGTTCTAGAAATCTGCATATGTTTACCTATTAAAAACATATCTATGGTTTTGAACGAGTCTCGATTTTTAAGTGAGTCTATTTGCTTCTGCCGGCAAACTAAATGATTGATGCAAACATTTTGTCATGGTAATACCAGTAGCTCTTAAGCATTGCTGTAGCCAAGAAAAGCTCATTGGATGTGAAGTTATTGCTGCAGAACCTACAGGGCCTTTCATTTTCAGCTAAAAACTAATTCTCTCGCAATAAACTCCTAAGGCTTTGTTTGTAACCACTTCTGCTTAAATAAAAGCACTTTTGGGGAAAAAGTGATTAGTAGTAAAAGTTGGTAGTGTTTGGTAAAATAAGTGCTTTTTGTGTAATAGAAAAAGTAAAAAGTAGATTTTACACGGAAGCCGAGAAAGTAAAAGTTGGTAGTGTTTGATAAAATAAGTGTTTTTTTCTTAAAAAAAAGTTAAAAGCACTTTTTTTAATGGGTTGCAAACAGACCCTAAATACTTGCACTTGTAAAGTTAGTGTCCTACAAAGAGAGTCCTGTTTAGTGTTTTTTTCTAAAAAAGTCAATCATGACTGAAAAACATGTTTAGTATCATAGATATATTGAAAATCTAAAAAAACAGGTTTTAAAGTGCAAGTATCACTTATGATTTGTGACATATAATGGACCTTGCAAGAAAGAAAGAAAACAGTACCTTGGTCTATGGTGACCCTTTTCTTTGGGATAGAGAGAGTTATTTTCACTTCAAATGTTATTGAGTAGATCCGAGCTAGGAAGGGGCAGATCCCGCACGAGTGAACTCTTTGAGAGCATTTCACTCAAGATGTATACGGTTGTCATTTATGTACTATTTCTCAATATTTATCTTCATATATTCGATTAAAGGCAAATGCATATGCGTCATTTGATTAAAGGCAGAATGTTTTAAATTCCTTTGTTCCAGGAATAGGATTTTCATATGTTTTGTTAGCTACAAATTGTTCTTCCCTAGAATACTGTTTCCTTCTATGAGAGGAAAAAACAAAACTAGAACTCCTTAGGTATTATTTTCTGCTTACGGAGAAGGTAGTAATCAATGTTTTTCTATAAGGTGCTATATAATATGTTATGCTACTTATTCCCTACTAACTTCAAAGTTAACCAAATGATGTAATATTTGATCAAAACAGTCTGTTCCTATTAGCTGAGCAATGTAGTTTATTTTTACTAGCAATCTGTTCCTACTAGCAATGTACAATCTCTCAAGGATTAAATGATCCATTCCTTGTATGACCCTTCCTCTTCCGAAGTCCAAAGCCAAATGAGCTGTCAAAGTTCTTTTATTTCTATACTATTTGATGCTCTTTACAATCACTTGTACATAAATGCTCCAATGGTGTACATTTTTGTGATTTGTCACATCCCCCCCGTTCGATGGCTCTATCATGTGCATTTAATGCCACTAATACATGTAATGACCAGTATTACTGTTTGTGACTATTTTGATCAGGTGGAATCATGTCCTAACGTAAACTGCAATGTCCGAATGCATAACTACTGTCTTACAATGAAATTCTCTCAAAGAACGGTAAAATCTCCTTGAACAAAATGAACTGGTAAGTTACTGCCTTTGGATGCATTGGCTAGATGGACGACTGAGACATTGGCTTAATATGCAGGTTGAAAAAGTTTGTCCGCGTTGTCATGCAGACTGGCCTTTTACTATTGCTAAAGTAGAAGTAAAAGAGGAAGATCCAGTTTCTCGCTCCACAAGAAAGAAGGCAAAAACTAGCCAAGAAGTTGGTATTCACAATCTAGGACCTAGTTCTTCTCAGGATACTAGGATCCCTAAAACAAGGGTAACTCGGCATTCTACCCGCTTGAAGAGCGACAGCTGATATGTGAGTAGAGAAATGCAATGTCAGCCCACACTATCACTTAAAAGTTTTGTGTTTTGTTTATAAAATCCAGCTATATGTGCCTTTCTCCTTTCCATGTCCTTGGTAGAACTCGTTGTGGGCTTTCTCACCCAGCACCTTTTGACTTGACCTGTGGAGCTGTTAAAACATCTAAACTTTGAATTTCATTAACATCTGATCCTGGAACCTTATGACCTGAGTCATTGTAAATGGAATGCCAGTAATTATGTTCTCTTGTACAAAAAACAGGCTGGAGTGTAAGTGGAATGTTTTTTTTATTAATGTGTTGTCCTTCACGCGATCATGTTCCTTTTTTGCTTACTCTTCTGACCAAATACAATGTTTAAAAATTTAGTTTTATCATTCCATTGATAATTAGTTAAAAGATAATTTTAGTTTTAAGAATATAAGAGTTTTTTGTTTTCATAAGATGTGATTAATTCATGAATGCCTTTTATTTTGTATGCAATGGAGAACAAGACCTTATGGGTGATTGATACTCGTCAAAGGAATCACTACTTTCTATGATATTACGTATTACTTTTCCCTTGCTTTGTGTCATGGTGTACAAGTAAAAATATGTGACCGTCTCCCTGGGATGCTCTAGGGTTTCTGTTTTTCCGGTGAAGGATTACTTTCTTGCGGCTAGTGGTATTTGTCCCCGTCATTCAGAGGATGAGTGTTATCAATTGGAATTGTAGAGGACCGACCAACCTAGCTATGGTCCAGGTATGAGTAAATTTGGTTTGTACCCACAAACCATAGGTTGTATTCCTAATGGAGACCAAAATTGCTGATTATGGGCTCAAATGAAGAAGTAGATCTTGAATCTTGATATTGTCGAGGTCAACTTGCAATTAGTGGTGGACTCGGTTTGGGCCACCCGACCTGGGAACTGGCCCGGCCCGGCATTGTAGGGGCCCGGCCCAGGAACCGGGGTACCGATTCCGGGTCTAGGCCCGGTTTTAGGTTGTAACCGGGGGTGGTCCCGGGATAGGTAAAATGTGAACCGACCCGGCCGGTTCCGGGACCGGTTCGGGCCTTTTTTATTTTTTTATTTTTGGTTTGGGTTGGGTTTAAATGGGCTGGGCTGGGCTGGATGTTTCCGATGGGTTTGGGGGGGGGGGGGGGGTAGGGGATGAAATAATCAAGAAAAAAAGAACCGAACTCGGCCCGGCCTTGGCCCGGAACTGGTAGACAACCGGTCCGGTCCCAAGCCTAAACCATTGCCATCCAGACCCGGCCGGGCCTAGGCCCGAACTGGACCCGACCCGGACCCGGGTCCATCATTACTTGCAATTCACTAATACAATAATTTGTACGGCTTACGACCGAGAGGTGTGGCGGTTGGCTGGTTCTACTGCTTCCCTGAAAACAGAAAGAGATGTGAAGCATAGAACCAATTATGCAGACTAGGGATGAATTGCACGATAGCTTGGATGATACTTGGACAATGTGTGGATTCAGAGAGGCAGTATGGGAGTGTGGAGTGGACTTAGAGACTGTCCTTAGTCCGGTTATCTATGGACATGGGATTATGGGAAAGAGGTAGGGGGACGATAGCTTGGGTGGAGGCGAAACTGAATAGTGTGTTAGTGAATGATAGGTGGTGGGATAGGTTTGAAGCGGCACATGCCAGTTTGGTGGAAGCTCCAGCTAGTGACCATATGGCTCTCCTTGTATTGGTGTTACGGGAAGAGTACCGCAATGGTGCAAGACCATTTAAATTTGAAAACACCTGGTTGCGGGAGGAGTGTAGGCATATTATGGATAATAGTTGAATGGTTTGCAGGGTTTTGATCTCCGAGGTAAAATTGTTTTATGTGGATAGGAGCTTTAACGATGGGGTAGAAGCAAGATGCGTGTTTTCTGAAATCAGAACAAGATGTGTAAAAGAAGAGTTAATTGGTTGAAAAATAAAGAGATGCTCGAAGTTGCAGAGAATTTTCACATGTGAAGGCATTTACCCGAATCTTATAAAAAAAGAGCATGTTTATTGTCGACAACGCTCAATAGAATTTTGATTTCAGGAGGGAGATGTGAATTCTAAATTTTTCTATAACCAATTAGGCAAAGAAGAAGAGTTAACAAGATTTGTGGTTTGGTAGCAGGGGATGCCACGTGGATTACCACATAGAGAAAGATGAAAGAAATGATTAGGGTTCACTTCTAGAGATAGGACCAATTTAGGGGTGAGGAATTTTTGTGAAGTCACTATCGAACAAAACAGAACATACATTGACATTCCTGATTAGTTCGGAGTAAGTATGTATGAGCAACTCTTTTCAACATGCATCTGCAAAAGGATGTGGGACATGTGGTATGAATCTTTCTTTTTTCATTCTTTTTGGGATTTATTGGTTCTGATGTGGTAGATCTATGTCGTTGTATGTTTGAGTCTGGTCAGGTTTCAAGAGAATTAAATGTGAAAATTGGAGACCTTTTGCTCCGTGTAATGTGATTTTTAAATTTTTCTCCGAACTCCTTGGCCCTTGCAAATCGGTTGAAAGGTATTTTAAATAATCTAATTGGAGAAAGTTGAAGTGCTTTTATCTTGGATAGGTCCATAGTGGACAATGTAATGGTGGCTTTTGGGACCCAACATTTTTTAAAGCGCAAGAGACGGGAAAAGGAGAGTTTTGTACCTTTGAAACTGGATATGAGCAAGGCATACGAACGCGGCAAGTGGATTTTTGCAAGGCAAATCATTATTTAGATGGAGTTTGATATCGGGTGGATCCAGCTCATTATGGAACGTATTTCGATCGTTAGCTATTATTTTCAAACAAGGAGTTAGTCTGACCTGTGGCTAGGTGATCCTTTATTGCCGTGTATATTATTTTAGTGGCCGAAGGTTTGAGTGCTTTATTCAGACAGGCCGAGAGTAGAAGGGATTTACACGGGGTGGTGATATGCTAGAGTACTCCAAAAATTTCTCATTTATTCTTTGTTTTATAGTTATTATTTACAAAGCTTCTACTGGAGAATGTGAACTGCTAAAAATACTTTAACTCAGTATGAGAATGAATTGGGGCAGATGTTGAATGTCAATATGTCAAGTATTTATTTTACCCCCAAATGTAGGGAGATAACACGAGAGTATCTTTATAATTCGTTAGGGGCGGCGCACGAGAGTATCTATATAATTCGTTAGGGGCGGCGCAAAACGGTCACTATGTCAAGTAATTGTTCTTTCGAAAACTTATGAATAAATATTGGTGTAAAGGGAACAATTTTGAACAAAAAGGGACCCGCTTGAGAGTTTGGGATGAACTTTGTAAAGCAAAAAAGGAGGGTGGACCGGGTTTAAGGAAAATAAGAGAATTTAATATTACAATGCTCGCGTTTAATAATATGTTGATGAACATCTTTGCCTTTAAGGAAATCAATATGTTCTTGAGATATAACACGATTCATAATAGACTGCATTGTAGAAGTAATTATATAGGTCTATAATGACTAAAATTCTTAGGAACAGATACTTTAGGGATAAAAAAAATTTGAGCACAAGAGCAGTAGGCATATGTATTCCCAAAAAAAAGATCTTTAACTGTGACGACATTATAGTCATTGTGTGCCTCAAAATAATATTCAATACAACGCTTATATGTAGTATAGTGAAGTAATGTTCAGTGCCGGTCCTATCTCAATTCGGGCCTGAGTCAAACTTCGCAGAAGGCCCTGTAGACTATAATAGATTATAATATTCCGTAGTCTAATTTATTTTGATGTTAAAGATTAAACATCACAAACAACAACTACTTATGTTAAATGCCTATACTATTGTACTATGTGCTTATATAACAATTGTTTTAAAATAAGTAATTTGTTTAATATTACTCACACACACACGGGGTAATGTTCATGTAAGGTAGATCTAAAAGTTATAATTTTTAGGCCTCTTTCATTTGAGGTACTTCCGGGTCGAATTTTTCAATGAAATTTTGTGAGCATGTTCTCTTTGAAGTGTAGGTTATGTGCACTAAATTTCATATTAAAATTCAATTGGGAAGTTAGTTAAATAATTTGTTGAAAAAACTGCATTTTTGGCCTAAAAACTGTGCAATTTTCAAAAATTTATTTCACTAACTTCCCAATTGAATTTTAATCTAAAATTCCATGGAGACGTGCTCACCAAATTTCTTCAAAAATTTCGACCCGGAAGTAGCTCAAATGAAAGAGGCCTAAAATTTAAACTTTTAGGCCTACCTTACATGAACATTTTCTTGCACACATGTAAACTAATATTAGTTACACAAACGTGCTAAATAAAAAATTATTGTCAAGAAATTCGAGAACAAAATGATTTTAAAATTTAAATATCTAAAAAAGGAAAATTTTAAGGCTAGAAAAAGAATTCCACTCTGCAAATTCAATTCAAATCCATCCCAAACATTTTGAAATGGTCAGCTTTGTGGGTCGCAGCAGAAAAGGTAAAACAAGGGAGCCATTTTATACTTTAAATTCACACATACGGAGTATATATAATAGAAAGTATTTTAAATTTTGGGTCCTAAATTTCTAACATTTTCTGGGGCCCTGAGGCCTTTGCCTCATTGGCCTCCAAGTAAGCACGGCTCTGGTAATGTTCATATCCACAAGGGAATGAATACTTCTCTTTTAAAGAACTAGTAACAAAGAAGGGGTTTTCAAGATTGTTCTTGAACTTTAAGAATATTTAAACACTAAAATAAATGACTTATGTGGTTTATTTAATTAGAGATTAGAGATTAAGATCCCGGTTATATTTTTAACTATCTTCCTCTTGAATACTCAATCGTGGAGTATTTCCAATTCATCAAGGGTAGTTATTAATAAAACTTATTATTTTTGTATGTAATTGAATAAACAAAACTAGATGTTAGGCCAAGATCATCTCCTTATTGAGTTATGATTACTCGATACATTTTGGCTCCGTATATGGGTTGTTGCTCATTATTTAATAATATTAAGTTTAATGATAAATAAAAAAATAAAAAATAAAACTTACTATCAAATCAATATAGAACACGCGCTGCATATTTACCCGATAGTAACAATAAAACTTAAAATGAAATCGATTGAGATTGATACCTCAACACAAACGGTTTATTGGTTTAATCAATATAATCAATTCCCCTTAGATTATTAACAATGAGACACACACATTAATAATCCAAGTTTACTACTGTGAAGGGACTGAATGATTAACAAGCGTATTCATCGATCAATTCTAGTAATAATTAATACATGAAACAAAACTAGTTGATCCTTTAAGTAATGCTCAAATATTAATATGAAATATAAATAGGAATGTAATTAATATTTAAGGAAGATGATTAAAGAAAATAACTCACAACTTACAAATCATAAGCTTCAATGTAGCAAAACCAAGATAGAATAGTTTAACTCCTCATTTGGAGACTAAACATGCTAGAAAATATAAAGAAAACACTTAACTAAACTGAGCTTTAGAGTATATGTGAATTGGTGATTTTATTGGGAAGGAAAAAGGGGTGTATTTATAGGTGTTTGGAGGTGGCGGAGCTTGGTACCCGACCGGTTAAATAGGATACCAGATCGGGTATTTGAGACAGTTTCCCAGAAAATCACTTTTATGAACATACCCGGTCAGGTATGTCGGCATATCCGGTCGAGTAAAAATTAACACAACAATTCACATTCCACATAACATATAAATTCAAAGAAATAAAATGTTCGATTTTTCATTCATCCTCAATTTACAAAGAAAGAGGGTCTTCATGATCTTCACGAACAAATATTCTTTTCATTGCTTGCTTCCCAAAACTCCCAAGTCAAATGAGTTCCTGTATAAACTCAGATAAAATTTCCTCTCATTCTCTCATTCTGCCTAGGAGCCTTTTCAGGTTTTCATCCCAACCTCTCTTTTTATTTTCCTTTTTCTCCCAACTCACTCATTTTAGCCACTTTTTCTTAGATTGCCCAATTTTGGGTTTTCAACCTAACTAGCATTTAATTTTGGGTTTTCAACCTATGGTTTCGGATTTGGAGATTTGGGTAGGGAAATTGAGTTTTGATTGTATGGGGTGATGAGGGTAAGATTTTTATGGGTTTAATTTGGGATTTTGGCGGGGGTGGAGGTGATTTGGAAGAGGGAAATTCTTGGCTAAGAGGTTTGGGAAAGTGTAGTTTGAAAGTTAGGGAAGATGGAGTGTTGTGTTCAAACGGGATGAAGAATAAATTGGGATTAAAATCCCGTATACCCGATCATTCAAAAATTCATTTTTTTAAATATAAAATGGTGCTCTCTCTCACGACACAACATTTTTTTTTTTAATTTAAGTGGGATCATCCCTTTTTTATTCTCAAAGGTCTTCTTTGGCCATGTTTCAATTTTATTTTCGGCCTTTTCTAGTAAGGCTGAGGTTTTTGTTGTTGTTACCACCTCAACCGCGAGCGGTTTAAATTCACTTTTAGCAAATTCCAGCAATTTCCCCTTACCCAAGATGATTCCTTATGCTTAATTTTTTCTTCTTTTTCAAAAATTGAGATTTGTCCGCGGCCGCCTCGTCCGCGAGCACCTCGAGGTCTGCCCCCTCGGTTGCCGCGCCCGCCTTGACCTCGTGGTGGTACTGCACCATAGCCGTAGGGAGCATGGCCTCGGCCCTAGGTGCTGGAACGGCTGCAAATGTCTGGTGTACCGTGGACGGATCCTGAGACTGAATGGTAGTGTTGCAATTTTCCCGAGCTTGAAGAATTGGTCGTAGAGACTCCAGTGTGGCATTCCCAGGAAGATATGATATGTTGTTTATTATAAATATAAGGCCACGACACCCAAGATAGAATATTCCATCAAATCACGATTACTAACAGGAGAAATAATCATAGCAAGTGCATTAGCAATCAGCTTAATTTCCAACAAATATTGATCAATGGTCTGTGATTCTTTCTTTTTAATATGGGACAAAGATCGCTTAAGTTCAACAGACCGTGCAAAGCAAGCAAACATAAAACGCGTTTCAAGTCGCTCCAATATAAAGTGAGAAAATTTCAAATCATATACCTCCATCAAAATATCCCTAGCAAGAGTACCAAAAATCCAAGACTGAACCGTTTGGTCTGTTTTCAACCAGCGGGGGTAGTCCGGATCCGTGACCAGTGGGACCCGAATTGAGCCATCCAATATCCCAAGAAGACTGTGGGGTACCAAGAAGGACTCAAATTGGGTCCGCCATGGTAAATAATCCTCAACGGCCGATAATCGGGTGATAACAATATTAGTCACATTTGGCGTTGAGAAAGCCAATTGTGATGACAAAGCAGATAAAGAACCTGCAATCGGTGAAGCACCTGAGCCAGCTGGAAGGACTGGGACCTGCGGATGATGCTGCGTGGGGCTCGGCTGGGCTGTTAAAGTTGGTCCACCAAAAGACATAGATGGAAGGCTGACCGCAGGGGCCGACGCCATGTGTGGTGGTGGCTGGAGGCTTATTGTAGGCGTCCATGTTAAAGGAGGCGGCATATTGAAGAGTCTGTAGGAATCCAGAGATGGAAGATCGTTCAATCGTTGCCGGAGATTCGCTGCAAGCGGAGACCAATCAGCCTGCGCAACGTGATCCATGGATGGAGGGAGCGGGCTCGACGGAACGACAATGCTGGACCCACTCTCGAACGAAGAGGACGAAGGCAGCAGTAACGAAGGCGCCTGGGAAGAAGGCAGCGCTGTGGTTTGCGCCTGAGAAGCCATGAAGCCGATGGATTGAGTCTACACTATAGGAGACGACGAGTTTGTGGAGGCGGCAATAGTGTCTGCGCCGATCATAGTAGGGAGAGAAGGAAAAAAACCTAGGCGACTGATACCATATATGAAATTATGATTTTGGAAAAAATAATGGCTTACCCTCTTGGGTGCCTTGGTCTTATATTTATAATAAAACAGAGTTATGAAGAATTACAGAGTAAACCCTAAATATTACATTATTACTTTTCTCTCTAGATTAATAGTCTATCGATTAGTTTAATGGAAAAAGTTTTTTCTAAATGCAACTTCTAAAATAATATTATGATTGGTTGTTCACTTGCTCTCAAATCTTAATCCTCAAATTCTCAATTTTCAAATCACCGGATTTTGGATTTTGCCTTTTCCTCTCTGGACGACTGAACGGTTGAACCTCTCAAAGGATTCAACGGGCAGAGTAATAGAGTTTCGAAAGTTATTATTGAGTTTTCTCTCTAGGGTTTCGACTATGTCGGCCGCTGGAGTCTTTTTTCCGATTTTGACTTTGTTGAAGATTGACTTTGTATTCCCTTGGTCACTGGTGCTCGACTGGAGTCCAGGTCAGACGCGGAGGGTAGAGATCGGTGGAGAAGGGCGGATTTGTTGTCATGGCTCGAGGAGATCGGTGTTGTGATCAAGGTTCGAGGAAGCGGCGTGGCTGTTGTCGTTGGTGAAGATCGGCGCCGCCTATCCGTTTAGTCTGGTCGCACGGAGTAGGGATGCGTTTGGTTATGCAGGGACGGAGGATTGATGCTTGGTCTTTGGCAGCCAAAGGTCATGGAGGATCAATTAGCATGGTACCGGTGGTACAACCTCCTCCTGAACCACCACCATGGGATGTACGAGGTGCTAGAGTTTGTGAAAGTTTTTCTTGTAGTTTTTATTTGTTTGTTATTTGTTTTCTTGTGTCCACTTTTGTTGTTGGTTTTGTCAGTTTGTTTAAGTTTTTTGTCTCTCTTTATGTCATTGGGTATGGTTGGATCTATGGGAACACATTTGGCTGTGTCAAGCCCACTACATGGTTAGCGATTCGTGTTTCTCTCTCAGGGGTGACCGTTTCAAAGTCTCACCATAGGGTTACAGTCATAGTTGTTGGAGTTTCAGTTGGTGTCAGTTTTATTTTCCCTTTGCTTGATGTAATGATCCTGAATCTTTTGATATGAATAGAGGCCTGTTTTGATGATAAAAAAAATTCAATTACATGGCAACCACTACCGTTTACTCTTTCGACTAACTTTCACAAGTAGCTAGGAATGCTAAGAATAGCTTTTTGCTCTTCATGAAAAATATCTGCCGAAGCTAGTGTCGATGTCCCAACTTCTTCCATCCATGCTCATAATCGAATACTTGCGATGTACTAGTGACCGGTCCCTCCCTCCTCACGGCCCCGCCATATTTGGGTGCCACACTTGCACTACCGGAACTGCTTTCACTATGCTGCCCCAAATAACTGAGAGTTGCTGTGCCCCACCCCCACCTCTAAGACTCTCTTATGTGGAAAATAGAATGCCTTTATATTATTTTACTCACCTCTGCAACAAATATTACTATAATATAGTATGATACAAATGTATTATGAGGGATGCAAAAAAAAAGAGACAATCATATGGGAATAGAGGTAGTATATGCAGGGGAGAGCCAGGATCTAGTGTCAATTTATGAAAGATTATGCATATACACGGAATTTTTATTTTTCAATGGTGTCAATTTAAATGTTTATAAAAAAATTATATATATATATATATATATATATATATATATATATATATATATATATATATATATATATATATATATATATATATATGGAGAAAAAAATTTCAATGGTATCAATTGTCACCACAATGGCACACTTCCAAGGGTGGCTCCGCCACTGAGTATATGTATTTACCACTTATTCACTTTTCATACATTTGAAATTTCTAAATTTGTATTGAAACTTGGAAAAAGGGTCAGATAAGCTATTTTACTAATCCTAATCCGTCATTTAAGTCCTTTGTTCATACTGAAAAAGGTATCATAATTTTGTTTTTCACTTTAATTTTTCAATTTTCTGTTTTTTTTTTAAAGTTTTTTAATATTTTTGTATCTAATTTTACATTTACACTATTTTTTATATTATTATTACATTATTTATTCAAATTTATATGAGTTTTTATAAGATTTATCAATATTTCTAATTTAATTTAAAAATAAAAAAGAACCTACTATAGCCGGTCAAAATGTCAAATGGCTTGATTGATTGTATTTTAGTAGAGTGACTTAAGTGACAGGTAGAAAATAGTAGAAGGGCTCATTTGACCATTTTTCTTGAAACTTTGATGTACTAAAAATTTGATGAAATTTTTACTAAATTATGTTATGTAGTTACATTAATGGAAAAATTGCTTGAATCAACATATCTTAATTACATGAGTTTTGATGCACGTGATGCTTTTTTCTTTTCTTTTTTTGCTTTGAGGAAACAAAACCATGAAGAAAAAAGTATACATCTCTTATACTCCGTATGATATTTCCTGTAGTTAAACAAAATGCTATTTCCTTTATCTGGCTCCTTTCAACTATGAAGATCTTGAAACTGCTGCAATTCGTCAAACCCCACCAAAAAAGAAAGAGTAATTAATCATCAGGATCCATTTCCTCATCTTGTTCCAATGATGGGATAACATCAGTTCCACTATCCTCAGAGTCCAACTGTCCCTCCGTCTCCGTTTCATCTTCCTGGGAGTCACCCTCATCAGGATCACTCTCCTCAGCCTTTACAGCTTCCTCTATCTCCGAGGGGCACCTTGTTTGTGCTTCGTATAATAAACGAAGTATACTTTTGCCTTTCTCAGATTTCAAAATCTGAGTAGACTTTGCAGTAGAGCAAGAGCATTCTGGGATAGGGTGAGAAAGGAAGAGTTTTGGTTTAGATAGATAACCCTTCTTTATGAGGCCCTCTTCCGTGGTGCTTCTGTTTAGATGGTCTCTTACAGAGAGAGTCCAATTGCGTGGTGGATAGTACAGACGTTCAACGGTTGTGTTGAAGAGCTCTGCAAGATATTTCCTGCTTGGCCAATTATAACCACGAAGAAAGTAAATTTACTTATCAGGAACCCGAATAATGTTAACCACAAACATTGTTACACTAGATATGCAAACAGGTAAGACAACCGTCAAGGATGAACAGCCCGGTGAAACTTAGGGTACCCAGTTGCTCTGTATATTACCCATTTCAATTTTTTAACGTGCTCCACTGCTCGTAAAGCCTGACCACATTAAAATGTCTGACCATATTAAAATACTGCAGTGTAATCACTGTTGGTATTATCTAACAACCACACACACATATATATAAATATAAATGGTTGTTAGAAACTCTCCCATATATGAGGAAGCTTTCCACTCACAGGCTGCTGCCCAATTTTTTATAAGGGAAGTCCGTTCGAAACTCCATTAAAGCAATTGCAGCCCTCTATATTCGAATCCTCCCTCTATATTCGAATCCTAGATCTGAGATCGGTTCTGGTAAAAATGTGATAGAACCGTATTAAAAATTGTAGTTCTTAAATTTGGTTCAGTTATAGTAAAAATGTACTCCGTAGTTGTTAAATTTGATTTGGTTCTAGTTAAATTCGGTTCGATTTTACAAAAATCCGGTTCGGTTCAGTTTGGTTATTGTTAAATGTCCCACACTGGAAAAGTTTGGATGAACAAAGTGTTATATTAACACATGGGCTACTCCACCTATCAGGTCGATCTTTTAGGATGAAACCCCAGATCTTAACATGATATCAGAGTCAAATCGATCCATGGTGTGGGGCCTCTTATAAAAAAAGATGACACGATATAAAAATGGCTGGATGAAAAAAACGGACGGATGAAAAAAAATGATGGCACGATTCGTCTGGTCATGAGGAGGGGTGTTAAATGTTCCACACCGGAAAAATTTGGATGAACAAAGTGCTATATTAACACATGGGCTACTCCTCCTATCAGATTGACCTTTTAGGATGGAGGTCTTAACATGGTATCAAAGCCAATTCCGGTTGTGTCTTGACGGCTTGTTTAGCACCCATGACTAAGGGTAGCTTGTTAAGGGTTTGTTAAAGCAATTTGTCTCACACCGGAAAGCTATAAAAAAATTAAATACTATATAAGGCTTTGGGCTATTCCTCCGATCAGGTTGACCTTTTAGGATGGAACCCCAGGTCTTAACATGGTATCGGAGCCAAATCGATCCATGGTATGAGGCCCCTTATGACAAATGATGACACGATTATAAAAACGTCCGGATAAAAAAAAAGAATGATGGCACGATCCAGACGAAGTGTCTGGTCGTGAGGAGCGGTGTTAAATGTCCCACACCGGAAAAATTTGGATGAACAAAATACTATATTAATACATGGGCTACTCCTCCTATCAGGTTCACCTTTTAGGATGGAACCCCGTGTTTAACAGTTCTTGTTAAATTAAGTTCGGTTATTACTTTTCTTCGGTTCCTTAAAAAACATTATTATCCTTCTAAAATAAACACATTTTACTTTCAAATTTCAATTACATAAATATATTCAAATTATGAAAAGGAAAAAGGGTCAAATAGACTCTTCTACTATTTCGGAACCATCACTTAAGCCCCTCTACTATAAAAAGCATCACATGAACCCATCTACTCTAAAAAAAGAATCAATTAAGCCAAATTACCTGAAGCTAACCTGTTATAGCAGGTCACTTTTTCTCTCTCATATATATATTTGTTTTTCATTTCTTTTTTTATTGCCATATTTAATAATCCGTACTAGCACATTAGCAGGTCACCCAATATACCAGATTGCCAGCCACCCCAACCTGGCTTCTCCCAAATTTTCATAAAAAAAGCCCCGTTTGAAACAAAATTATATATGACATATTGGTCTCATATGAAAGGTAATAAAAAATTATTTAATTTGATATAATTTTTGTTAAAATCAGATTATAATTTAAGAAGTTATATCATTTTTAAAAAAACACTATATGATTTGACATTTAATTTTATCTCTTCATAATGTTACGTAAGCGATAAACTCCTTCTTTTGACCTTTAGCTATACCACGCATCATCAAATTACCATGCCAAATGTTTACGTGTGTGATACGGTGTACGGTTTATCGGTTTTATTCTGCACCTTCCACAATATATATATATATATATATATATATATATATATATATATATATATATATATGGGTTCTGTTTTGGTTGTCAAAAAAATATAGAGATGGGTTCTAATGAGAACAACTCTTATATAGAGGAAAGTTCATGTCAGGCCGGCCTGACGGGCTGCTCCGTCCGGCCGAGCCCGTTTGGGCACCTTCCCGGTGAAATTTTTTGATGAAATTTTTTGAGCATGTTCCTCATCAAGTCTAGTTTGTCCATACCAAATTTCAGCTCAAAATTCGATCGGGAAGACATTCAAATCATTTTTTGAAGTTGACTGCAGTTTTATATATATATATATATAGAGAGAGAGAGCTCTTCTCATCAGGCCGGCCTGACGGGCTGCCCCGTCCGGCCGAGCCCGTTTGGGCACCTTCCCGGTGGAATTTTTTGATGAAATTTTTTGAGCATGTTCCTCATCAAGTCTAGTTTGTCCATACCAAATTTCAGCTCAAAATTCGATCGGGAAGGTCGTCAAATGATTTTTGCAAGTTAACTGGTCCGGAAAATACATATTCCTGTCAGGCTGGCTCGACAGGACTCGCTGTCCGGTCGAGGGAATTTGGGGCCCTTCCCGGTGGAATTTTTAATGATTTCTTTTCCTGTTTATCATCAAGTCTAGTTTATGCATATATATTCTATGCTGAGATGGTTTCTCTGTTCATTGTATTGTAGACTTTTAGTTGACTTACAAATCCTTCCTACAGCATGTACATTATATGTAGACAAGGCCTTGCATGCATGGTTTTAAAAGGCGTTTAGCCTTTACGCACTTGAGGCGCAAAGGCGCAAAGGCGGTCGGTAATAGCCTGGAAGGCTTAAGCTTCACCTTCTGCTAACAAGGCTTACGCCTTAAATTTGCTGAGGCATTGATGCGGACTGTGGGCGCAAGGCGTACACGAAGCGTTCGCCTCTAATTTTACGCAAGGTTGGGCTTTTTTTAAAAAATATATCGGGGGCCTCAAATTTTCTCTCCTAAAATATAAAATACCTGGATATTTTATTGCTTACCCACAGCCTTAGGTCTTCCAAATTCCAATCGATGGTCTTTCACTCTTCTACGAGACTAGATATTAAAAAACTAGAAACAACGACTTGAAGAAGAGCTGCTGAAGCTCGGTACAGAGACTTCAGGAGTTGCTTCGCCGGTTCGTCCAAGCAATAATAAAATATCCCACCGCCCAACTTCTATAATTTCTTATAGTGTTTATTATTTAACTTTTTTATTTAACTTTTTAGTTATTTAAAGGTTTTATTTTGAGCTATTTAAAGTTATTAAATAGTATTAAATTTCGTCCAACCTTTCTGATCTTTATGTGTTTGTCATTTAACGTTACTAATGTAATTATTAAGCCTTTTGTTTAATCTGTAAAGTTATCATATAAAACTATCATTTAACTTAACAATTTATTTATTTGTTTAATACTGCGCACTTTACAAGTTTACTTGACTTAAGATTTACATTTTAATTTGAAATATTATAGTTAAGTTCATTACAGTTTGGTTTTATTTTTATTTATTTATTAAAGTTGATTATCAATCATTAATTTTTTTTGTCTTGGAAGTTTAGTGTTTTTTATATTTCATTTTTATGCTATTTTGACTTGAATATTTTATTGTTATGTTCTTTTTACTCGTAATTTTGTTTAGTTGCATTATTCTTATGGATTATCTATACTATCTGATATGTTGTACGCTTTTAGACAATTAAATTTGAGGCTTACGCCTCGTTACGCCTCGAGGCTTACGCCTCGTGAGGCTATTGCCGAACGCCTCGGGGCTCGATTTCGCCTTTCAAAACCTTGCTTGCATGTATAATCATCACAAGGTCCTGCATGTATAGTCAACACAATAATAAACAGAAGTATCGTTCTTATCTTCTATACTTTGCTGTAACACAAACTAACTCAAACAAGGCACTCCTTTTAGGATGTTTTTAATTGGATTAAAATTTTCTGGTTTGGTTGATGCTTGTTTTATGTGTATTTTACTTTTATCTAAGCCTAGTAATTAATTGCCTAAAATAAGTTATAAACACAAGATCATTATTGTGTCAACGTTAGGCAAAATGCATTAATTATGCCAAAAGTTCATATATATAGTCCAGTAAAATACAGCATTTTGAAGTACTAATTACCTGTCGGGACGGAATGTTCTAGAAGATGCCTTGTTATAGAGCCGATTCCCCATTATTAAGCTGGAAAAATCAGGCCATTCACTACCATCATTGTCAAAACCTGGAAAGAATGCATCTGCCTCAACCGAAACAATGTAATCAAGGGCATCCCATAGTAAGCGGTGAGCTTGTTCTCTTAAATCCCGAGGTGAGGGATCCGGCTCTGAATCCTTCTCAGCAATCCAACCGTACCACCCTTCCTTTTCATGGCGGTATATAGGTCGGTTGGGAGGAGGAGGAAGGGGCCTTGGTCGGGGCCCACCCTTGTCCCATTCATCTTTGAGTTGCTTCTCACTTTTCACGGGTAGGAGTTGGATGGGATCCGGAGGAAGTGAGGTTTCTGGTCCAATTAAACTTGCGAGCTCTGATATGCTGCACAATGAAGTCCGGTCCACTAAGTTCGTGTACATGGCTCTTAATGGAATTAAAATCCTTTGGCCACCAAATGACTCAGAACCTGCCATGTATATTCTTGTTCTTGGCGGGTAGCCTAAAGCTCGAAGAAGTAGTCCCACCTAAAGGTTATGGAGTGGTAAACCATGAACCAAGTGCTTAAAAAAGAGGAGAAACTGCATAATGAACAGTTATTTTGGATCACAAAATAGATAAAACAAACACCAAAAGTATTTAACAGTACAATTTACTTCGCCAAAATATTTTTCATTCCATTAACATTTTAAATTTCCATCCTCCAAGAGTCCTGCAAGGTGATTGACTTTTGAAATAATCAAATATCAAATCGCCCTTCGATAGAAAAACTACAAGTCTGTAATGCATTCCGTTGTCTCCAATTATTCCTAGCATCCTTCATTCTCAATCTGAAAATAAAGAACTAATATTCTTTTTTGTACTTGTGGGTCAACGACCCCCTCCCCACCACCCCCAAAACTATCCAAGAATAGTCCAATTCTGGGACATCTTATGTCCTGTTCTACTAGTTGGGGAATGGGGGACCACTTGTCCTCTCCCATAAGGACTAAAACTAAAATTTCACATTATTAAAACACAAAAGATATCTCAAAAAGAGATGATTGATGAAACAAAAGTTTAATTTATGACATGTCTAAGCACACTGCACAGGAACACATTAGACTGTCATTGAGTTATTGTCCCAATATAAGTAGTAAATAGCTATTTTTTTGTAGTAAATAGCTATAATAAGTAATAAATTGATTTCATGTGAATATTTCTTTATCTAAAAAGCCAAATCCCAATTTAGAATGACATAGGAGTAGTTATAAAGCAACAACGTTTTTAAAGATGCGACTTTCAACTTGAGAATGCAGAATCATACCTTTACAGGTTTCGGAATTTAGTCTTATAAACTGTTATGGTGCCTTAGAGATGCATAGTTTTATGGAGGTATATGAGTTTATATTGACTTTTACAGATTTCTTTAACTTTGTAGACTTATAACAAGTATATAAAGATCTAGTGTCACAGATTTACAGAAAATGACTTTTATGCACTTTTATATTTTTAAAATCTACAAAATGTCCTAATGTGGTCTACGATCAACGGACACAATAATGTAGGGTTTATACTTTAGAGGGATAGTGCCAGAAATTATGAGAGACTGGGTATTGGTTTTCAACTAGTTATAACTTTGAGGGGAAAGTTCATGAAAATCTTGATAAGTAAGAATAGTTTGACAATTGATGAGCTTTTGAATGCCAATGAACTTTGAGGAACTCTTCAGAAGTCTTAATTGAATACCACTATACTATACATGAGTAAAAAGATTGGATTAAACACATATGATGTTAATCATTTAAAGACCCTCTAAAAGTTTTAATTGTATACCTTCAAAATATATAGAACCACACTATAAGAGTTTTAATACGCCTCCTTGATACAATGTTTTAATAAAATGTTTATACATAGAACTAATGTGCATATTTGTAATAGGGGAGGGGAACCTAGGGATTCTAAACCCAATATTTCTATTTTTATGCTTTCAAATACTCTGTATCGAAATGATTGCTACACTTTCTTTTTTGGGATGTATTTTAAATTTTGCTACACTTTCCCTTTTTGGTAAGTTTTGCCTTTAAAAATACTCAATTACCCTAACTTTTTCTACTTTTATCGTCTCTTTCATACTTTTTCACCCTCTCTTCTACTTTTTCTACACTATTCATTACCCCTACTACTTTTCCCTTAAATATTGTGCTAAACCCTATTGTAGCAAACATTTCAATACTGCGTGAGTACTTGTCATTTGTTTTTTTAACTTTTAGCTTCTCAACACAAAAGTACTATACAGAAGGTCTTAGATGTACAGGTACAAATTTATGTACTACGTCAAAAAACAACTGCTTGGAATTACAATCATATTTACCTCTTCAGGCATAAGCGGACATGATCCATTTCTTCTTTGAGCATAAGAATCCACCCTTAGATCTTCATTAAGGATACCTTCTTTAATCAATTGAGCTCGCCTATATTGTATGAGCTCTGCATGAACATCCTTAACAACAGAAAGCATCATCAGCAAACAACTGTATTCAAGGGTGACCATATGGAGAAAAATGTGAACTCAATTCCCTTGGTACAGGAAGATAAACGCTAACACAATTTTCCAGTGGGGGTAGGAATTTGGGTTTTTCAAAATTCCTTGGTACATGGATCCATTAGAAAGGTTTAGAAAGAAAGGTTAAGTACTTGTGAAATATGAAAGCATGTTTTTCCTGAAAGTAATTTCTTCTATTGCCTACAATATAAAGACTTCTTTGTGCATTTTTATATTTCTTATATGCAGCAAGACATAAGACCCAGATATAAAGATAAATTACCAATAATTGAAAGTAACACAGAGCTCAAAGAGATGGTAGAGCTCTGCAGTAGGATGGATTCACAACTCCTAAATGGCAACAGTTCAGATCATGGATAATAATTTGCAACATGTTAAAGATAAAATTGGTTGATTACATCATGAAAGTACATGTTATTGCACAATAACAAATTTGCAATAATAATTACTACGGCAACTATCTCAATGCATCTTCGTCTCATTTTAGTTTTCATGCAAAGGTAAAAGCCATAAAACCTATTGTGATGACAATTTCATAATTTAATCTCATTATTCCTTCTCTAGAAGGCAGTGACAAAAAAGGCATAAAAGAAATACCTTGACAAGTAACACTATGCTTAAACCATTTTTATACAATCAAATTGCAATGAGAATTTCATGTCTTCGAGCCAGCATAGTTGGGTTAAGGCGGTGATGAACTGATGACAATGTCATAATGGAAGTATTGAGTTGAATAAAGTAAACTGTACTTGCGAAACTAAATAAATGAAAAAGGCATTGAAAATACAATACTGAAGTCTAGATTTTTTATGCAACTGAAAAAAGTCCAAACGGAACTGCTTTTTACCTAAACAAAAATTGAGTGTGACAATATTCTAAGATTTTACAGTAGCAAGTTATTGGAACATATTGCATTCAGTAACTAAAGCCCTTCTGGTGAAATCATATTTAACAATTAAAAGACAGCTGTTAATGAGGTTTATTGCCAACCTGAAAAAGTTCAGCGCAGCCATTATATGCTAGGTTGTCTTTCTTAAGTCCAGGATTATAAGCAATGTAAGGTTGGCCTGCAGCTCGCAGCCTGTGTTGATAACAGATATTAATAACTAAAATGCCCCATGAATAAATACATAAATACACACATATAAACACCATCTGGGAAAACCATCAAGTAGATATAAACTTAAATATTGAGGAGAGTAAATTATTTGCACCATGATGAATTAATTGAGTATACTCCTGTTTATCCCCATTATTAATGTAATCATGCATGGTTAACTATTTTACATTCCAATTAAATAGCATTTTCTGATAACTGTTTCACTCCAATGTTGAACACAGTTAGGGTTACATAAAGGTAAATAAATAAAAAACATTTAACACTTTGCCACTTTTAGTCCTCCAACTATCGTGTCAATGAGAATTTGGTACTCGTCTTTAAAATTTACCACTTTTAACTAAAAAGTGATGGAAACTATATTCACTTATAGTGTGAAACATCAGGCACCACATTTGATCTTGCAAGCATATAACATTGTCAAACAGATATCACTTCCTCAGCATGTAGAAGCTAGTAAGCTTTGAAGCAGCAGTTATCCAGTCACCATACAATATATGCAAACTAAACAGTTATGTGTTATGTGGATTGAACTACTGCATTAGTGCAGTACAGAAAGTACAAATCCTTGCTTTTCCATACTCGAGGAGGCATGGACATGCATTTCAAATGCTGATAAATTTTTATCAATACAGCTCAGATAATCAACCATAAACCTCTACTAGTTCTGCAATTATATATGTAGCTATGCATCTCTTACTTCTACCAGACAATGCTGAGCTAGAGGCAAAAGTAAATAATGTTTTTTTCCAATGTAGATCTATGATGCAATTGAACATAATGAAGTTGAGATATTGATATACTCAAGGGATAAAGGCATAAAGCATATGATATCATTTCAGGAATACATTTATATTTACAAATGAACGACAGGCTTTAATTAGAGATGTAATATTTAGTTTTTCATTCCAATCCATTATTTTCTGCCTTTTTTCAGCATACATAAACCCATAATTTAGCAAAAAAACAACATCCGAGCCTTATTCCCAAACAGAGTATGGGGTCGGCTAACATGAATCGACATATGAAAACCTATAATTAAGCAAAGGAAGAAAAAGCCTCTTTTCAGGAAGAAACAGCTAAATGGAGCAGCAAGAGAATTTAAAATTGTTTACAGGTGTAAGTTTGGTTAAAATTCAAGGACCACAAAGAATGTCACGTGGGAAAAATTAGACTGCGCACGTGTTGGACTATTTTGGTGAATAAAATTCAACATTCACTAATAACATTACAATGCTCAGCATACAAATACTAAAGCATTCACTCAAATAAATAACATGGGGAGAAGGTATAACTGTAAGTCATGTAGATCTCTGAGCAACATATGTTAAACCAACAAACTAATCCAAATAGAATACCAACAACCAATTCAGATACAAAAACCTAGTCTTATATATCATATCTCACCTTTCCACCATCAGCGAGCCAAGAGATCGGATTTCAGTGCGGAACTGAAGAGCATGAAATGCCACACGGCATCGAAGCCTCTGGTACTCAGCGAATCCAAGTGGAAGAGTGGACTGCAAATGTAAGAAATAACATACTTTTGGATAGGGTAGAAACAAATATGAATACCAATGGTACATCAGAGTGGACTGAAAAGATAGGTTTCAAACCCACGGAAAATGCCTTGAAAGGTTTAAACCCTAACCCCGTAAGGTTTAGGGACAAAAGCAATAACAGCGCTAATATGAATTTAGGACCGTAAGAATGGAAAGGAATATACATCAGCACAGTAGTCAGTAGGTGCTTGAATTCTAAACATTTGTTACATGTATAGAGGGTCTAAGTCGGGAAGACAATGGAAAATGGGTGGAACTACCTGCAAGCTTCCTCCATCTGACAAAATTAACCCAACAGCCTTCACTTTCCTCAACTTCGGAAGAACTTCAGAGATATAAAAGGTAGGAGGAGTAGTCATCCCAGGCTTAAAAGTTGGGAATCCTTTCCTTTTCTTTGCCTTCTTTAAGGTTGGTGGTAGATCCTTCACGATGATCACGTCATTTCTCAAGCTTGCTATGAACCTTTCCTCATCATACAGATATGAAAAGCTACTAAATTTTGAACTGCAAAATTTTCAATTATAACAAAAGACTAAGAGAAGAAATAAAAAACAAGTAAATGTGCTTCTATCTGTATCAGTTATCAAATTATCAATTCGAAACAAACCTGATGCCTTTTGACTGAGTACTATCTTGGATCTCTGGGATTACGAGGGTCGCATTCAAAAGCCTAGCTATGGTGACCAGATCACAGATCTGAGCAAATCAGCAACATGTCACAGCCTAAAAGTTGTAGGGAGTGAAAGAGTTAAAATCCCTTCTAGAAGTAAATATGAGCATACCGAGTTCCTAATCTTCTCGAAAGAACCAAAAATCTTGGCATAAATGAAGCCATTGTTTTTCTCTAATGGAACTGCAAGAATGGAAAACAAATTCTGATGAAGCAAGGGAGGGAGAAGATGAGAACTTTCAAGTATCACAATAGAATTTTCACAAATGTCAAAACTCAAAACTAAAAGTTAGAAAGAAAAAACAGGAAAACAAAATCTCAGCTAGTCAAGATGATAATTTAGCCCAAGTGAATGTCCTTACAAAACCATTGCAGCAATTGATGCCTAGAAGAAGAAAATTTGGTTCTCTTATAATTCAATTTTCTCTCATTGACTTGTATTGGTGGACAATGTGAAAGATTCAGCTACATGAAGTATTAATGATAAAAATTATGAAGAGAGAGGAATGAGACATCTGAGAGAGTGAGAGAGAGTAAAAAATGCAGACATGCATTGTATGCTAAAATTTGTATCTGAAAGTGATCTTTCATACTAAAAGCTAAGGTATTATACCAGTGTGATATAAATTATAGCTTAGCCTAGTACTTGAGGCAGAAATGAGAAAAACATAAATGTCGGCGGGAAGGGATGATCGATTACAGCTGTGGAAAATAACAATTTAGTGTAATTTGGGAAATCATTCTGTTCATATAGACTTTGCACACATAGATCTTTATAAATGTTCTCCAACCCTGTTTGTCTAAAGTAAACCTGAATGAGTATTCTTTTCTTTTCCTTAGTTAACATTATGCACTGAAGGTTCTACAATAACAGTCCGCAGGCATTCTGAAAAGGTGAACTTCAACAAATAGTTTCAAATAAACATCAGAAAGGGCATGCAACTTGCAAGTGTAAAATAAGCATCAAAAGAGAAAACAAAATTAATCTGAATGGCACATAAGAAGGCGCCGTCCATCACACAATTTGAAGCACAAGGCTATATTTGCTGTGAATATTACCTTGATATGTACTTCTTGGATCTGCAAAATGCTGCAGTGGTTCCAAGGACTTAACATTTCCCCACAACCTCCGGTATGCAGCATCCTTTTTAAATTACAAAATGCCAAATCAAGACCAAATAATATCTAAATGGTACCATTACTACATAAGAAGCATATGAATTTCTGCTTACTTTTTTAATAGGAAGATGAGGGGTTAGATCATCAGTGAAAATAGCAAAGGCAGTGTACTGTACAAGATTAGCGCTAGACTTGGCCAAAAATAAATGAACCAGCAATGAAACAGATGATAGAACCAGCCCACCAAGCGCTGCCCATTTTATCTTTGATTTCATTGCCACTGTAAAGAGGGCTCGAATCTGCAAATGTGCTTCTCCAGTTATTAAAATAAAGAGAACATGAGTACAGAAGAGAGAAAGGCTTGCAACCACAGGATAATGATGTTGGCGAGGACTGGGAAGCTAAGTTGATTCTTGTTGTCTTGGTGTTCAGGCTTGGGCACTCCGCAACGCCAGTATATGGGCTGCTCACAGATAGGAAAGGGTCGGCAGGCGGCACGAACAGCAGGAAGGATACAGCAACTACCCTTCTACGGTAACCCCCAAAAGAGGCAGCATTATTAAACTTGTTCGATTCGAACAGAAAATGTCAAAAACTTCATCAGAGATTGAGAGATCAAAGTGACTACAAACCTATTAGATAGAGAAAATGGAACAGGTTTACGGCTGAAGGTGGGATGCGGAGTTGCAGATAGGTTACCGCTCCACTTATGTAAACAGGTTTGCTCTCCTACAACGCCGTAAAAATGGCAGTATCGATCTGCTCGTGAGCATCCTCCAAATTGTTCACCACCGCCTAAAAGCAATTTCAAGTAGTTATTAGGATTATAGTCGTGACCTACTCGTGGCGCGGATTATATAGAACAGGCGATTAATTAGAGATACAAATAATGCCTTTTTTAAAAAAACAACGACGGGAGCTGAAATCGAATATTAGAACCTGAAAGCAGCGGAGCTACTGGCTGAAGAAGGGAGGGGGGAGGGGGGGAGGGAAAGGCTGGGAGGTATGAAGAAGAAGAATAAAGATGCAGGCAAAAAGAAAAAGAAAAAGAAAAAGAAATGCCAAATGGATTGCCACATAAGCAAGTGATCGGTTAAACGACGTAAATTACATGGTACAGCCGGTTGTACCATGCGCAGGGTACAAGTGTACAACCGGTACAAGTGTACAACCGGTACAAATGTACAACCGGCATTTTATTTCCCAAATCGCAGGGTTTCCATCGCAAATCGCAAGTTTCCATCGCAAATCGCAGGCTTCCATCGCAGTTCGCAGAGCTTCCATCACAGTTCGCAAATCGTTACTCGTCCTTCGCTCGCCGCCTACACAGATGACAATTCTCGACAGCCACGACCCTCCAGCACGAGCTCAACACCTCAAACTCTGGCTTGAGCTGCGACTTCTGTGGCGGCTCCTCCGGGTGTATAGCCCTAATTGCTTCTTCTCTCTCTTTCTTGCTCTAGACTCTTCTTTTTTCTCTTTTTCTTACCCAAGTTTGGTGAGGGACTTCGCTCATTTATGATATGTGCATAACAAATGAAACTATGAGCATAGTAGACATTTCAAATGAGTTTTTTGAATGCTCATTGCGTAATTAATGTATACTCATTTGATATTAGTGCAATACTCATTTTAAAATGTCATATTCATGCATATTTCAAAATGAGTTTTATGTTAAACTCAAATGATTATAACGCCCAAAATGAATGAGCACACACAAATGAGTTTTTTAATGGGAAAGTTCCCGAAATAGGACTAAAACAGTTTGAAAATTCCAAAATAGGACTGCCATATTTTTTATTCCCAAAATAGAAGTAATTACTGCCAAGTTTGGAAAATATTGCCATGTTTGGAGTATGGTACTGCCAAAACATGGCAGTAATTAGTCCTATTTTGGGAATAAAAACATGTCAGTCCTATTTTGGAATTTGGAAAAATGGAAACTAATAATCCAACCTTTTAGCAATCTTTTTACAATAGTCCCACATTTTCGTTATTTAAGAATAATCCAACCTTTGCACCTCATCTTCATTCGCTGGTCCCTGACCGGTTAATGACCTGCTATTCCAAATTATTTTCTTATCTTTTCAAAATATAATCTTTGTGAAAAGTGAGATTTATGGTATAATGGTTTGTAAACATAAGAAACTAACTTGGAATAGCATGTCATCAACCAGTTAGGGATCAGTGAATGAAGATGAGGTGCAAAGGTTGGATTATTCTTGAATAACGAAAATGTGGGACTATTGTAAGAAGACCGCTAAAAGGTTGGATTATTAATTTCCATTTTCCCTTGGAATTTTGAAACATTTTTAGTCCTATTTCGGATAATATCCCCTTTTTAATATTTTGATACTCATTTTGTAAGTTATGTATGCTCATTTATTACTGTTTTATGCTCATTTTAAAAGGTTGCACATGTTAAATACCAATTGTCACTTTATAAGTTATGTATGCTCAACGGTTATTCATGTTATGCTCATTTGTAAAACGGCATAACAATGCATATTTCAAAAGTTTAGAAAAAATAAGGAAAAGAAAGTAAATTAGAAGAGATGAAGCAGAGATCACGATGCTCATTGTTATGCGTGTAATGCTCAACAAAATGTGTCACATGCTCACTAGACGTGTTTTAATGCTCATTTAGTACAAGACGCGAATTTCATGTAAATTACAAAATGCCACCGGCTGTACAGTTCTCACCGTACAGCCGGTTGTACTATATACGCTTCCGTTAAACGAGAAGCAATATGCAGGATTATAAAATTAACCATGTTTGTATAGTTCACGTATTAATAATTCAGTGTTTTTGAGATTTACTAACTTTTTAGATATATTATGAGGACCAATTTGACATATTTCTGAAAATTTTCTATTATGGAAATTGTAAACTAACATTTTAAGGTATTGACAAATTCTAGACTAACAAATAAGATCCAATACATTTGCTTGTTTGAACCAATTAAATATGTCAATTGTGTTATAAAATGGAAGGAAATAAGTAGAAGATTAGGGAGAGATTATATTAAGTATAAAGGCGTTCTTGAGAGTGTATTAGATGCGCATCAATCGCGTATCATGTTGTCCTAATTAAATGATAATGACTTATTTATAGGATAATAGGAGGATGTGTGAGCTCAATCAAATTAAGAGGTCATTGTAAGCCACACATTTATCACCTTGAAATCATAATTATGATTTCCTAATTATTTATATAATGGTGATAATAATTCATAATCAGTAATTGTTGAAAGATAACTAATTCAATTATATTTCAACATCCTTTTGTAAAAAAAAATTCCAACCCCCTTGAATGGTCGTCTTCTAACTATACTTGGGTATTAGTTTCATTGTATGATAATGTACTGTCTCGTTAAAACCATGTCAGAAAAAACTCAGTGAGAAAAAAATCTGATGAAGGGAAAAAGTGTGCAGTGCATTATATTACTCCCTCTCAATTTAACATATATCTGGAAGACAACACATTTCAATTTTGTGGACCAGCTCTTCGAGTTTTTTCCGGTGTCAATGACTTTGTTAATAAATCAGCATGGTTTGTCACATGACTTGATTTGTTTGACATCAACCGTTCCTTCATTCTTAAGATTATGTATGAAGAAAAGTTATGGGGTTATATGCATTGTCATGTCCCCTTTGATGTAACCTCCTTTGATCTGCGCTATACATGTCGTATTATCTTCATAAATCACACTAGGATCACAAGTAAAAGATTTTATACCGCATTCATTTTGTATGTGCTGGATCATTGATCTCAACCAGACACATTCTCGACTTGCTTCATAAAAAGTAATCAATTCTGCATGATTTGATGATGTGGTAGTTAATGTTTGCTTCATTAATTTCCATGAGATAGCGGCAACAACATAGGTGAATAAATATCATGTTTGTGATTTTGCCTTTTGTAGATCAGACAAGTATCCTGCATCGGCATAGCCAATTAAAGTGGCATTTGCACTATTCTTGAAATACAATCCAAGACCGATTGTACCATTGAGATAGCGGAATATATGTTTGACATCATTCCAACGTCTTCTTGTCGGAGAAGAACTATACATGTCTAATAAATTTACAGAAAAAAACACTATATGGTCGGGTATTATTAGCCAAATACATTAATGCTCCAATAACACTCAAATATGGTATTTCGTGACCAATGATTTCTTCACCATCTTCACAAGGTCGTAAAGGATCATCATGCACATTGAGAGATCGAACCACCATTGGAGAATTGAGCGGGCGCGCTTTATCCATGTAAAACCCCTTCAAAAGTTTCTCAATATAATTTGATTGGTGGATAAAAATATCAGTTCTCAAGTGTTCAATTTGAATACCAAGACAAAACTTTGTTCTCCCAAGGTCTTTCATTTCAAATTCTTTCATGAGATATTTTGTTGTATTTTCAATTTCATAGGGAGTTCCAATTATATTTAAATCATCAACATATACTGCAATTATGACGAATCCTGATTCGGATCACTGAATGAAAACGCATGGACTAATAAGATCATTTTTATGTCCTTTAATCACATATTCACTGAGACAGGTATACCACATGCGTCCAGATTGTTTTAATCCATATAATCACTTTTGCAATTTTATGGAAAATAAATATCGAGATTTCAAGCTATAAGCATTAGATATTTTAAAGCCTCTAGAAATTCTCATATATATGTATGTATCAAGTGAACCATATAAATATGCAGTCAGTACATCCATTAGGCGCATTTGCAGCCTTTCAAAAACATACATGTCAATTAAAAATCTTAAGGTTGTAGCATCAACTACAGGAGAATACGACTCATCATAATCGATTCCTCGCATTTGAGAAAAATCTTGGGCAACAAATCAGGCTTTGCATCTAACGATTTCATCTTTCTCGTTTCATTTAGGCACGAAACCCATTTAAAGGCCCTTTGCCGTTTGGGCTATATATATAAAAACATTATGCTTTTCTAGCGATTTTAATTCTACCTGAATTGCTTCATTCCATTTTGGCCAATCATTTCTACGATGACATTCGTCAATAGATTTAGGCTCATTGTCATCGTGTTCATTCATTATATTTGTGGCAATTGCATATGAAAATATATCATTAACATCAATATTTTTTCTATTCCATTGTATTCCATTAGAAACTTAATTAATTGAAATTTCGAAATTATTGGCGTTTCTATGATTATATGGGATATTTACCTCTTCAAAGGCGATTGAATCCTCTGTTGAGGTATCATTATTATTGATGAAACTTCTAAGTTGATAATTTAAAATGTTCATTTTCTTCTTAAGAAGGATGAACTTCTTTGGCATCACAAACTACATCTTGCTATTTAAATTTTCTTGATTTCAAATCTCATGAACCAAGTGATGTGGTCTACCACGTTTCTTATGTATCATAGATTCATTATCAAGAGTTCTTTCGCTAATCTCCGCATAAATTTCTATTCAAGAAGGAGCATTCATAGCTGGAATATGTGACTTTGTCACTTTCTTTGAGTCTATGAAAGCATAAAGCAATAGGTTTGCAACACTTTGTAAATGAATAATCTTTTGAATTTCTTTTTCACAAGCATTTATGTGAGAATCAAGAAAAGATAAATTTGTTGTATTCCAAGTACTATCTTTCGTATGTGGGTCCATTTCTCTATTATCTCCCCCTAAGGCTGGAAATATTGTCTCATTAAAATGACGGTCATCGAACCATGCGGTGAATAAGTCACCGGTGATAGGTTCTAGATAATTAATTATTGAGTGAGATTTAAAAGCCAACATAAATTCTCAGTCTTCTTTGAGGACTCATTTTAGTACGATAAGGTGGAGTAATTGGTACATACACAACACAACCAAATATTTTTATGTGTGATATATTTGAATCTTTACCATATACTAATTGCAATGAGAAATCTTTATGATATGTAGTTGGCCTAAGCCGAATTAAATTTGTAGCATGCATAGCATATCAATAATGGTCTA